TTGAAGTTATCAATATCAAATCCCTTTACTTTTGATGTAGATGGAGATAACCAATTCTGTGCACAAATTAGTGCCTCAGCCATATTTGATGATAGGGAACTTCTGAATTCATCAATGACACGATCTCCCGTACTAAATGCAGATTCTGAAGATACAGTGGATACAGGCATGGCCAAGACATCACGTGCAATCAATGAAAGGATTTTGTATTTAGAACTATTTACTTTCCACCATGTCAAAATATCAAAGTTAGGATGAAGAACATCAACTAACTCAGCTTGAAAATACCTCTCCACTTCTGCATATTTATCTGTTTCAACTTCAACCTCGTTTTGGGCAACAAATAGTTGCAGTAGAGGCCTAGATTCCAACATTGCCATCTGAAGTTGACTTAAGCCAGCAGGTTCACTTGATGCTTGTGTCTGACTTTGATTTTGAGATTCAGATGTGTTTGTTTCATGCCCACTTAAATAGAAGTCATACAAACAATACAAGGCATTTGTGACTCTATTTGTCATGGCTTCACGTTGTGTAGAATCAGGGAACATCTCATGAAAAGCAAGCTTCAAAAACTTCATTTTATACCTAGGGTCAAGAACCATTGCTATTACCAACAAAGGATTGAGATTCTCCAACTTTCCCCAATACTTTTCATACTTAACTTTCATCCTCTTAGCCATATCAGACACCAGAAAATTAGGATTATTTGCCCTTGTATGCAGGATAACAAACACATCAGCTATATGTTGAAAGCATACATTTGAGGTAACATAAAGTGATCCTGAAAATTGCAAAGTGATGTCATAGAACACTTTTAAAAAGACAATAAATTCTTTAGCATCTTTCCAATTGGAAGCATCAGGAGGACCAATTAATGTTTTCTCCACAAAATAGTTTGTGTAATCATTATCCTCTTTCTCCATTCTTTCAAAGACGCTACTGAATTTAATAGCATTCTCCAATATGATGTAAGTTGAATTCCACCTAGTTGGACAATCCATGGTTAGGAGGCTCTTAGAGTCAATTTTCATTTTCTGAACAAGCTCTTTGAATTTAAGCAACCTTCCTGGAGAAGACCTCACATATTTAATGGCATTGCGAATGCCTTCAATAGATTTGTGCATGTCCTTCACACCATGACAAACAATTAAATTCAAAATATGTGCACAACACCTCAAGTGCAAGAAGTCCCCATTACATACCAAACCATTCCAATGGCTCAAAACATCTTTTAATTTTGCCACTGCATTATCATTTGAAGACGCATTATCAACTGTGATAGTAAACACTTTCTCAATGCCCCAAGCTAATAAACATTTCTCTATTTCTGATGCAATTGTATCACCCCTATGATTTTCAACTACACAAAAATTCAAGATTCTCTTTTGATATATCCATTCCTCATCAATCCAGTGAGCAGTCAAGCACATAAAGTTAGAATTCTGACAAGAAGTCCATGTATCTGTAGTGAGGCAAACACGAACTTTGGTTCTTTTAAAATACATTTTCAACTTCCTCGCTTCTTCAAGATACAAACCCAAACAATCCCTAGTGACAGTCGCTCTTGATGGGACTTGAAAACGGGGTTCTATCCTAGTCATCATTTCTTTAAACCCATCACCTTCCACAACTCGAAAAGGCATTTCATCCAATATAACAAATAATGCAACATCTTTTCTACATTCTTCTTGATTAAATACATGATGACTCAATGTTTTAGAAGAACCTAATTGAGAGCTTGACAACAAAGATTGTGTCTTCTTATTAATTCGGTTTGGATTTAAGACTCACCTCTCTATATGTTTTTTTAATCCATTTGTCCCATATGAAGAGTGACAAGCAATTGTTGTTGGACAATACTTGCACTTTGCTCGAAGTTGCCCATTTGTCTGGCTTAAAGGAAGCTTGTCAAAATGATCCCAAACCGCAGATTTCTGTCTCTTTCCTCTTGGTTCATCTCCTTCCTCACCCTCAATACTTGTCAAACCAGTGTCTTTTTCCTTTTCATTAACAGGTGTTTCTATAGTTCTACTTTCATTTTCACTATAATCTTCTTGACCAGTTTGTGCATTCGACATCTTTAAAATAAATTAAACTTCTTTTCTGCATAAATAGAAAAAAAAAGCACAAATAATTTACAACTGAAATTGCTAACTAACTAATCAGTAATCAATATCCCCAGTTCGAATTCAATATATATCCTCACAACACAGACAACAATCTGACATCAAATACAATATATATCATTTAACTAAGCTCAATTCGAATCATGCATGGATGACACTTCCATTAAATGACAATATATCCTCAGTTCGAATTCAATATATATCCCCACAGCCAGTCAAACCACACTTCACAGAATCACAGCAAAGTTGTCCGAAATTTAAAAAAAAAATAGCAGAGACAGTTACCTCGCAGATGAATTGATTCAGGGTGTGTTCACACTTCACAGCAAAGGCACGGCACCACGGGCACTACAGAGCTGGCGCAGGGAGAGACACGGCGAGAATTTTCATTCAAGGCGATGCAATTTTTCAGTCAGCTCCAGGATTATGCAATCATGGGTAATTTTATACTTTTCAGTGATTGTCAATGGCAGAGAATCAGTGGAGACTCAAAGAAGAAGAGGCGGGAGAGTACTCACCCGCGTCAGAGACTCAGAGTGCAAAAAATCCGAGGAAGAGAGGGCAGTCGGGCACGCTAGCTCTACGGTGGTCACTATCGTGTGTGAGAGTCGGGATCGCAGGAGTAACAGAGTGCAGCTGCGGGGAAGGAACGACGAGGAAGAGGCGTGCCTGAAGGCAGAGGCGCCGAAGCCATCGAGGTCGCGGGAGAGTTCAGTACAGACTACAGAGTGCGGGCGCAAGATAAAAAATCTGACAAAGAACGCTAGCGAGACGGTGGTCCGGATTCAAGATCCAAATGTGGCTTTAGCTTCAGCTATCTCCTTGTGCGCGAGAGTCGGGAAAGGAGTGAGCAGACCTTCGGTCGCAGACTCAATTGGATTGAGAGATTTTGAGGGGCGAGAGCGGCAAGACGAGGCGCGGCGTATGGCTAGTATGAACTGAACCTCTATGAGTAATTGAGTAATGAGTATGAACTACTAGAAATTTAGGGCTCAGGAGACGAAGGGAGGACCGGATAAATTGAAAATTGCAATTTTTTTTTATAATATATACCCCGGGACGGGACAGGGACGGGACGACCCAGTCCCGTGTCCCGTCCCGTGTCCTGTCTCGTCCCGGTATTGTCCCGTCTCGTAAATTTTTTTATCCCATCCCGTCCCGTCCCAAAGTTATCAGGATCGGGACGGACCTACCGGGACGGGACAATTTGAACACCCCTAGTTAGGATACACTCTTATAAGCTCTTACTAAATATAAATAATTTAATCAAAGGCGTACTTAAAAACTGTATTCAAGAAATGGGTGATCGATAGGTATAATCGATAACTGGATCAGGAGTGTAAAATGTCTTCTTGTGATACTTACATAAATTAAAAGGAGTTATGATATACTGTTTCGGTTTTTAATATAAGACCTATTTAACTACTTCGATTAAATTAAAGAAGTTTGTTAAGTTAGGTAATAATCATAACTATAGCATATGTTTTCCAAAATACCCTCAGTTAAAACTTCTTTAAAAAAAATGACATTTCAAAAAATGTTTTAAATTATTTTATTAAAAATATAAAACGGTAGAATTGATGTATGTGTAAAATTAATGAGTAATAAGTATTATTGTGATATTTAATTATTTAATAGGAGTAATTTAAGAAAGAATTGGTAAATATAAGAAATATGTCATATATTTAGGACCAAAATCAATATTCTAACTAGGTCCGATATTAGGAACCGGAGGAATACTTACTTATATATACGTAACATGGCAAACTTTTTTGCTTGAGAAAGTGCAATTGCACATTACATTCTTTATGATGTTCCCCTCCTTTTTAATGGTCTCATTTTTTAAGCATCCAACAATGCAAGGACTTGTTCTCACATTTCAATTCAAGTTATATCTTTGATGATATTGCTTTTAAAACTTTCACTGCATCAAGCAAAAATTAGTTTCTAAAATAATAATTTGTTTTGGCTAACTGAAAGAGAAACTTAAGTAAATGAAAATTGATACACAAACACTAAAATAGACTTGGAAAAGATCAAAGAATGAACAAAAATTAGTAGGCAATAAAAAGCTTACGAAATAACAATCATAAGCCAAGATAAGTCTAAACCTTTTAGGTTGAAGGTAAGAATAACAACTTGCATAACATCGTGATCAAAAGAAAACATCATATTTACTTCAATGAGCAATTCAGGTGATGGTCCAAAGACTCGCTCCATCGGACCCCTTTTGAGAACACATAACATGACTACTTTTCAAATGATTGACATGGAATCATAAATTATATGCAAGAGTAAATTCTTTTTCTTATTTTAGCAAATGCAAATAATGGAGCTATGAAGGTTGAATGTCCTATAAGCCTATTCGGTATAAAAGAAATTCTGCACAAACAAGAAAGAGCGGAACTTTGTTAGTTTTATAGGAAGAAACTCGGGGAAATTGCAAAAAAAGACCTTGGAATTGTAAAAACGCAGATAGGGACCCTTGACAACTTCACTTTGGGTTTTGACAAGAATAATATTCCCTGAAGTTGTCAAAACCCAAAGTGAAGTTGTCAAGGGTCCCTATCTGCGTTTTTGCAATTCCAAGGTCTTTTTTTGCAATTTTCCCAAGAAACTCTTTAGTTTAGAAGTGCATTTGATAATTGATATTACTTCTCTCTCATGAATTTCCACATGCCAATGTAATAAAAAAAATTTTTAAAAATTTTCTGTAGTGAAGAAAGTAGAGGACGCAAGTTGAAACTGACCCACACAAATTCATTAGACCCAGACGCTCATCTGGGCCGAGCGAGAAAAAACCAACCGACCCTAAAATCCCACATCGGCTATAACACAAACAAAAAAACAAGATATAACCGAGTGACAGATCCAAAAAGGGCACGACCTTACTTGAACAGGATCTGTTCTATAGGCTCGTACCTCTGTGTCCTTGAGTATCAAGGAGACAAGATCCGCAGCTTGGTTGATGAATCATGACCAGGTGATCGGAGCGTGATTATTGGCTGGGTCGTCCATCATCATGGCTCGACTTGGCCGCAGAGGATCGTTCCCAGGCAGTTCTGCTGTGTGGGATGGTCACTTGGTTGTCTGACAAGCTCCCAAAAATTTTTTTCCGTTTATTCCTCAAAATCTGAAAGGACTGGCCCTTTTTCTCCCCGACCACCGCGTAAGGATTCCTTATTTCTGTTGGTTTCTCTGGTCAATTGCAATATTTTCCAGTTTGATCTGTGCGCGCTGCTTGTTTGGAGCTCCGCAGTGACGTGCTGTGCCTTGGAATGTTCTCATGTAGGGGTATTTCACAGCCAAAAAACCGTTGACGTCGACCTCTCTTTACAAGGTATTTCACATCCTCCGATGAGCGATGGAGATCGACGGGAAAGTCCATTCTCAGAGGCCCGTGACACTAGCTTCTGAGGAACATCCAATGAAGAGAGGAACCGAGGGAGCTTGTGATTGAAGACATCTCAGGTTCAATTTATCATCTAACCTACTTGGACGAATTGCGGCACGCCATACTTGAGTTCTACTTATTATGTGCGCATTTGGGGAACGAAATAAACTCAGTTTCAGCTGCTATCCCATTTAATGTTATATGCTGCGTAGGCATCTAGGTTGCCAAGACACTTTGTTAGCTTGGACTAAATGGAAGTAGGAAGCGTTCCAAAATTTGCTTGTAGGTGTAAAGCCACTACAAGAAGATAGTGGCAAAGCACAATACGATTGGAATGTTTGCTCTGATGGGGTATTCACAGTAAAATCATCCTATGAAATGAAAGATCAAGGCGTGACGATTTGGGGGGATGAGGAAGAAATAGGGCGGTTAGATGGCCCGGAGCTCGAAGTGAAGTTTTTCTTTGGCCTGATGGCTAGTAGTTAAAAGAGAAACTTCTTAACAGGTTTGTTTATCTCGACTTGTGATGGGCTGCACTAGTTTATCAGTGATCTTGAGTTCTGAAACTTCTAATCAACAGGGAAATGTAGCTTATGTAATTGTGGGAATAGAATAGAAAATTTCTTCCGAACAGTGAAATTAATGGTTTAGCAATAATTTACAGACAAAACACCCTGATAGGAGTGAAGGGGGCTTGCGAAGTCTGAAATAGCATGTTGAATTCTGAAACAGAAGCATCTTTGGAAGAAAATAAGCAGTTTTGAAGACCTCTGCCATGGGATTGTGAATGCTCAGATATATTGGACTGTCGTATCTTTTCCTCTTTCTTCCCTACCCCCACCCCCACCTTTTTCCCTCTAGAGGACGGTATTTAGTCCTAAATGCAAAACTATGCCCTGATTTAGTACAAAATCAAAATGGGAAAGGGAGTGAGAATGATAGCATGTTCATACTTGTGTGGAAGCAATTGTTTGAGGTGAAAATGAGAACTTTTTTTACGGTAACTTGTGGGAAGCTCTCGTTTTACTCTAATCACTTTGTTAGAAGATAGCATTGTGTTCTGATGCTGAACTATGGGCTCATAGGCATGAGAAGCTCCCTTTTTGAATAAAACCACTTTGCCATCAACCAAATATCATAAAAACACTTTCTCTTACATTTTGCCCTTTCCTTGAATCCCTTTTCCATGAAACAAGCGCAGGCTATGAGAAATCTTTGATGGATTGGAATTAGCATGGATATGCTGGCTAAAGACACATTCAACTGGGAATGGAATTGACTTGGCTTTTTTAGAGGTAAATTCAATCAGAGGTACCTTAGCTGTCCAACTAATAATAACCAAAATGAAGCAGAGAACGTATGGTTAATGGCTACTCAAGCCTCGTATAAGGCTTGCAAAATTCACAATACTCCAGAGGAATTGGGGTTTAGCCATTAGACGTGCTTAATGCGAGAAACAAATATGCGTTATGATTATAACTGAGAGTTCATCATTTTGAATAACTACCAAGTGGGATTCTCGCTCTATGAATGATGATGCCCATAGGGTCACCCATCTCTGTATGTGTTCAAAGTTTTAACAACGTTTATATTCAATTCCAAATGAAGTCTCACTTTTTTTTTTCCCCTCATTAATTCATTTATCTATTTTTAAAAAACCTAGCTTTCTATATTTGATTTTACATTAAAAGATCTTATGATCATAATTTTGAGCCTAACGTCCATTGGCCTGGTGGCACGAATGGTGCCCTTGTGTCACTTGAAATCAGGGTTCGAGGTTGCCTACTTTTTTAATAATAAAAAAAAAAACCTCAGTTTTGATTTGAACAGGCAGTTACTCTCACCAAACATGTTCTAAGCCAAAAGAGGAGTTTGCAGAGGCCAGAATTAAATGGGGAAAAACTTTTTTGACACACTATTAGAATTCATAGTTCAAACTCAAAGTCAGTTTGAAAATTAAAACCATCGAAGTACTTGACCAAGTTTTTATGAAAGGCAGGGGTATCAACACTTACCTACAGAGCAAGTAGTCTGCTTTTAATGTGAAATTTAAAGCATTTAAACAACAAAATATTTTTGTTAAGGTTCTTGAAATGTATAAATCTAAGTCAGATTTTCATCAATATCTATTTATTATTATGCATTTTCATCACCTTGGCTTCAAATGCATTGAGTGACTGAACTAGCTGGAATATGCAATCCTACAGGCTATGCTTTTGAAGATACAATACTCCAAAACGAAATCTTCGTCAATAGATCATTATCAAAGCTTCAGTTCTACCGGCTACAGAGTCATTGATAGGGAGTCCTTTCTATTTCAAGATAGAAAAAGAGTAACATTTCACATGGCCTGTGTATATTCCCAGGCATCTTCTACCTGAACCACCATCTTTGGACTGCCGATAAAGGAGCATTCAATGCCGGAGCATGGCGGTGGATGAATGGGGTCACAGTCCTCCCAATTTTAGCCCAAACACTTTGATGGTAAGAAGCAGTAACAGGAGCTTGATACATGAGCTTCAAAATCTGTAAAAGGAATTTTAGGCAAAGCAACAGAAAATTTTGTGAGATCTGCAACAACTCATTATATAATATATATAATTGTTGCCCAGGGATGCACTGCATTACTACCTAAAGAAATTTGGAAAATCATGACAAAATCTGTGAAAGACAAATATAAACTAAGGGCTCATTTGGCAGGCGAAATAGAATGCAAAAAGGGGGGAAAAAAAGAAAAGAAAAAGATAAAGAGAATGACCCTCATGCCCATACTTCTAATGAAAATATTAAAAAAGAGATAGAAACTGATTAGAAATGATGACAAGGATATAATAGACATTACATAAATTTTTACTTTTACCACTCTTTGTTGATAAACCAAACATACCCCAAAATATTTGGCATATGTACTCATGTATGAAGTACTGCTTTGTTCAAGATTTTTTTTTTTTTAAACTTACCAAAGATATCATCTAATTAATCACAAGAAAGTTATGTTTTTCCATTGATAAATCACATCACATGGACAAAAGACAATGTAATATCTATGACAACTACTTGAACAGGAATCAAGGAAACGAAACAAACCTGCCAATACATGAAAGTTTGTAGTATGTTGCGCTGCCACCTGCATATAGTTCAAGGAAAGAAATGAAGTCTTCATTATCCTCAACAGTCAATACAAAGGAATCTGCAGAAAGGGAAAACTAAGGATAAATGTTAGGAAAGATCAAGAAACAGACGATAGCAGTGATATGATCAGAAGGAAGCCAAGCCCAATCTCAACATGTGACGTCAGGATATTAAGGGTGGTTGTATTTGATTCCACCCAAACACAAGATTCTTCCATATATTTCCTATCCAAATAAAAAATAAAAACAAATATTAGTTATTGGTAGCTTTCAAGCAATCATATTTGAATTAAATCTGGGAAAACCAGAAGAATCTGCAATCATATACGAAGTCCACAAGGCACAAAAAAAAAATGCCAGTTATATGGCTAGACAAGAAAGAGTAAGTAGTTATGTTTTATGGGGCGAAAAAACATAACTGTCCATTATTTATTTACTTTTTAAAATCTTGATTATGTATATTTCAAGATTTTATGGAGAGAAAAAGAAAGTACGTAGTTATGGAGGGTTTCTTGAAGGTTAGAAACAACCCATTATTTATTTACTTTTTAAAATCTTGATTATTTATATTTCCAATTAGAGCATAGTTACTAACCTGAATTCAATATTTACCATTTTTCATTTCAAAATAGTAATTTTTTAGTTGACAGATAATTACTCGAACTCTTTAAAGTCAACACTCAACACTATTTTAACAGGATAAAAAAAGGAGAAACTATAATTATATAACTTCTCTGTTTAAAAAATATAAAGCAGAGTATAAAAGTTAAATGATATACAGAGGATGGTGCATGCTCAACTATGCAAATAATTAGTAAAGCAGAATCATGCCAGTTCATGAGAGCAAAACAACAAATTCTATATAATCAAAGTACAATAAATTTCACCTGTACAGAGTGGATCGACTGAAATTACGTCTAAGGAACTTGGCAACATGCTCCAGTGACCGGCATAATACGGGGATCAAAGCAACTGCAACAAAAATATATTAAAAAATAAAAAATAAAAAAGGATAAGACATCAAAGTGAGATGAAATAATGAAAGTATTGATGGCAATAGAAAATATGCCAAGGAAAAAAAAAAAAAAATCAATGAATCAATGCCCCAACAAATACTCACATTTGAGGCAGAGATGTGAAGTAGCAAATGAAAGACAGTATAATAAATATATAAAATCCTTCGTTCCAACTATTGACTGGAGGTATATTTGCAAGGCCTGCAAATTCCATGCTCTTGGTTTCTGCAATAGCACAAAACAAGTAGTAAAAACAGTCAGAAATGAGAACATTAATGAAATAATATAATTATAGACCAGAAAAGAGAACTCACCCCATACTGCGAGTACAAGGAGTACAGAGAAGAGCATGCAGTGCCCAAAAAGGAAAGTCGATAAGCTCTTTGTGAAATACTCCTAGGTACCAGTGGAATGACAGCAAGCATAGCAATGACGAACACCTGAGTGAAGAGATTACAGAAAGGCTTCAAGGTTGACAATCCGGATGAGTGAACAGTTTGACAGCAAGGATAAAAACTGATTTTTTTTCCCCCTGTTGGTGAAATAGCTAGGTCCATTGGAAACATCCTCTGCCCTAAGTTTTATTTATATGCTTCAGCTTTATATTTCTCTTCCCAGTATTTGTGCCACTAGACGTTTGTTTTAGATATGTTTGTGATTTAATTATATTCTTATAATCTATCTGTAATCTTGACAGAATCCTATTAGGAGATAAGATGATAGGGTTACTGTGCCTACACGTGCACGGTTTTTCCAAATGAATAAGACACTTTTCATGGAATCAACATTTTGATCATTTTCATCAAATTTTTCATAGCATAAAAGTAAAATACATCCACGGAGCAAATGATGAATGAAACAGTTGATTCCCAGTTATCTTTTGTACAGGAGATGGGGATTCTCAGGAGATTATTTGCAGGCTAAAGAAATGGATTTGGACATCCAAAAATGGTCCTTGGTGCTCCATGGCTTTTTGTAGCAGAATACTTGCTTTTGTATCAGAAGAATAAAAATGATCATCATCAGTGATCAATCAACATATTTACAACCACTTTCCAACCAACTTGGGTAAGAAGTAGGATAATTTGCTTCAACTTACAAAGCACAAGCTGCTTTTCAAATCTGTAAAGTCATAAATTTGCATAACTTTGGCAAATATCGATGCTAATGGCACTAATTATATGAGATTGATGATGTCTGGGACATTAGCTAACAGAGTTCTGACATATTAGATATAGTAATAGGAACTACCTATCAGCACAAACACAAGCGAAGAATATGGCACCAAAACAGAAGATCTATGACAGGAATATGAGAAATACCTAATAGAGGGGTTACCATAACTAATAACACAAAGACAAGCTCAGAGAATTCAGATCCTGTTGGTATGGAGAAATTGACACAATCGCTTGATAAAATAGTTAAAGCTTTCCCAACTCACAATTCCCAACCAATGAAGCAACACTAGATTCCCACATATCACAGACTCGAGCCACAAATACTCATATACATCAAGGGTAAAGAGGAACATGCAAGTGATAACCGACTATCTCAACCAAACCAGATCCAATACTCCCCTTTTCTCTCCTTTCTCGGATTTTCCTTCATATATACCTTTTACCAGTATTTTAACTGGTCCCTCCTATCTTTGCATCATTTCTCTCCTTTTACTCTTATGATTGTCTGCTTTTTGACAATTTGTTTACATTCAGCCAATGTTTTGAAAATTGTAAACTTAAACTATATGGACAAGTGAGGCCTCAAAAACATGACAAATAACAAAACTTGTACCCTTTTTTTTTCTAAATATTAATTTCGTTCCTAAATATAGCATTCTTTTTATTATACACAAGGGAAAACAGTGGAAATATGAACATTCGAAACCCAAAAATATAATCCACAGTGTCATAAATTGACATAAAAGCATCATAATCAAAATTTTGTTATAAACATAAATATTCAACCAAGCATTCAGATACAAAGAAAATGAAGAAAACATTGATTTAAACATGGTCATTAGACTGTTCGTATGCATGGGAAATTATAACTAATTATCACGAATGAATTCATATGCTAAGTGTGTAAGTCAAAAGACTTTACCCAAGCATTGACAGCAAAATGAATTGTCTGCCGCTCCCAACGCAAGGGAGTTGGATTGGAACCTGCAGTTGCTGATGTTCCTGAAGTTCTATTTGTTGATCCTGTTCCTGGAGCATCAAGGTTGTTATACATTCAGTATAAACAGCAAGTTAAGCTGGCATCCAAGGAAGGCCAAAAAGAAAACAACTATCAAGCTAAGCTAGGCTTCTTAGGATCACTTCGTGTTTTTTTTTTTGCCCCCCAACTTTCCTTTGAAATTCTTTTACAATTATGATAAAAGTGCAAAAACATAAATTCACCTGAGTTTCGTGTATAAGCTTGGTCATTTCTTGATGGGGGTGATTGTGATGATGAAGTAGCTGATGGTCTTGTTGACTGAGATGAACTACTGGTAGACATTGGCTCTACTATGAGATCAGGATCCTGTTTAATATTCATAGAATCAGAAGCACTTCAGTCAATGTGAAATAATTTTGTTCGAAATATGCACTTGGTTGGTTCTCATTGGATAATTGAGATACCCAAAAAAAAAGAAATCTTATTAATCTGTAGCTACTTCAAAACATTACGTCAATAATCCATAGAACGATATGCTATGTTGTAGAAACACTAAATCAGAAGCAATGAAAGAACTTAGCAAGTATGTAACTAAGCAAATTCTCTACCATTAATCCTGGACTAGAAGATCAGTGTCTAGTCTGACTAAAGGATCAATAGAAGCAAAATCGATCAAAACTTGAAATTTGATATAACAAACTCTACCTTAAAAGCACTCAGTTCTCATACTATTAGCAGCTAAAAACAAAAAAAAAAGTCTAATTCCATGGCGCATGGGCAAATTAGGTTACTAAAATTTAAAATGCAGGAAAATTAAATTGATTAATAGGTTGCCTATAAAAATAATCATAACCTGTTTAACCCAAGTTTATTCACAATAATTCTGATGAAATGGTGAGGAAATGGAAGTTTAGCTTCGAAAAAGAAAATTTAAAAAAAAAAAAAATCAAAGAGTTCATCTCCACAAGTTATAATTCAACGAAACACAATGATTTAGGTCACATAAAGGAAAGTAAATGACAAAAACTGTGCAAACTTAAAAAAGTCCCATTCATGCTGAATCTGAAGACTTGAAGTCCAAAGGTCAAAACTCGTTAAAACAAGTACCATAAAACCGGCAAAAAAAAATCCCAATCTAAAAAATAACCACTATGCAAATAATAAAACAGCCCAGTTTAGACCCATCATACAAGGGCTCTCGTTGAGAATTACGAAGCAAATACAAACCAATCATGAAAAAAAGAACGATAAGAGCTTGGAGTAAATTTCATCACTTCCAGAGAAAAAAATGCACATGCACAACAAGGATTAATCAATCATTCTTTGATCGAAGCGTATGTGACCGAAAAACAAAGAATAATAGAGCAGAGACAATGTAGCGTTGGTAGAACTTGCGCTTGTAGTGATTGACAACATCAGAGTTGGAGGCCATATGGGCAGGGACGAGAACATTGGACCAGTAATCGGCCCATCTCGGATCGTTCTGGTAGTCATACGCCGCCGCCGCTATCTTCTTCAGCTTTTGTGGGTCTTCCCCCATTGCAATTGAGAACTGTTTTAATGCTTCCTTCTGCTTTCTACTGGACTGACTTTGGCCAGTTCAAAGCTCGCTGTTTCCCTTCTAGGTATTTAACAAGTGTCACCTTACTATGATTTGCAATTTTAATTTATTATTTTTGGCCAAAAATTATTTATCTTTTAATGAAGGGACAGCTCATAGCATTTAATTAGTGAGAGCATTACGGCATTGTCACATCCCAATCCGGCCGAAATGGGCTGGCTGGGCCACAGGAAAAAGATATTAAATAGGCCTACAAATAAAGGGAGCAATGGGTTACCTTTTTTTTTTTTGGGGACAAATTGGAGATAAATATCCATTTGGCAATTTATTTGTAAAATGGGACTTAGATTTTTGTAAAGGTTTGAGGTCCCTGTAGAAAATTAAAAATAAATACCTTTAGTGCTTAATAGATGAGAAAGAGGAAAAATCAGAAAAGGAAAAAAAAAAAACGTAATCCTGCATAAATTTTTTCTCCTCCCTGTGTCCTCCATTGCATCCACAATTGCTGAGGGTTCTATCGGAGCTCCAGTCTGTTAGTGAAGGCTAGGAAGGTAACTTACATCAACATCTTTTATGGATTTTAGTGTTTGGTGGAGGTGATTGTAGTGATATTCATTCTTGACTTAGCTGCCTTTGATACTCGGTACGTGGGCAAAAAACTCCTTAATAAATTTGTGGCCTCAATTGGTGATTATATATTCATCATTATTATATAAGCAGATGCATTTTATGAGACTAACATAATGCACTTTGTGAAATAATGAAAGAAAATGTCATCCCCAAATATGTTGTTTGATTTCAAATTTTTTATCGTAATCTAGTTTAACGATAGTAGATTTTGAAGGGATATCAAGAATTGGGTTTTGGTTTTATCTTCTGAAAGAATAAGTTTTTATCTTGTCTTGGTTTAACATTATACCAACATATGCTTTGTTGAAAGTTGAGTGAAGTCATTGATCCTAATTGTGCTAAGTGTTTACAAGTGAATGATATTGTAAACTTTGGTTTATTTAACATTGATGTCATGTATTTGCAGGTGTATAGTAAATATGATGAATAGATTAGTGAAAGAAATATATTGCTTCTTTCATATAGGTTGGAAGGTCACTAATAAAGGGAGGATTCAATATGTTGGTGAGAGAGCAAATGGAAGAATGATAAGAGAAGGAATGTCAATAAATGAGCTTAGAATAATAATGTCTTTATGTCTTGGTATTCAAGGTAAAGGATTTTAATTGAAGTGCACATTGTTGGGATTCGATGAAAACACTATTATAGACATAGAAGATGATGAAGGCATGCAACAAGCAGTAAAATTTAATGATAAATTTGCATACTTATATATAGTTGAAGATGGGAATGAGTTGATAGATGAAGGATTGCTCATGATGAATTTACAACAGTAGCTCCCATGAATGATTAAAAATGTGTACACCAATTTAAAAGAATTTGTTATTAATTGTCAGTATTTTTTTTATGTAGGTCTACTTTAGAAGGATCATATGGATTATGTATAGTTGGATCTTCATCAAGTAGAATACCACAAGACATACCATATTTAGTTCAAAGTGTACTTATACCTATCCCTGAGCACGGGGTTGAGAAGTGAAAGGACTTGCTTTGTGGTCCTCCTAAGAGTTTCACAAATGCTGCTGAATTTAGAGAAGCACTATATAAGTATAGTTTGGCACATAATTTTGCATATAAGTTTGTGAAGAATTATGTAAGTAAAATGATAATGAGGTGCAAGGTGGATGGGTATCCATAGAGGATCGTTGCATATCAAGTGGGGTAGGAAGAGTCAAGTTTCTTACACATGCATACGTTTGAGGAAAAACACAATTACTCATCACAGGACAATCTAATTGTATATTACAAATTGACCCCAAGCTTAGTTTGTTCCATAATTAAAGATGATTTGAGGGACTGTCTAGAAAAACCACTAAATGAGATAAGACGTGAAATTTATAAAAAAATATGGTTTATCAATATCTTATGATCAAGCATGGAGAGGTAAAGAGAAAGCATTGACAGAGATATAAGAAGCATCATAGTAGTCATAATGTTGATTCCTTGGTATTGTAATAGACTAATAGAAGTAGACCCAAAAACAGTGGCAAAATGGGAAGGTAGTAACCATAGGTTTATCAGATTATTCATCACATATGGATGTAGCATAGAAGGATTCCTGGGAGGATTTCGGCCTATTTTGTATATTGATGGAAATCATCTCAATGGCCATACAAGAGGACCATGTTATCTGCATCAGCTCTTGATACTGATATAATTATACCCTACTGCATATGCCATTATGGGTGGGGAGACCAATGATGATTGGATATGATTTATGCATAATATGAAAAAAAAAAAATTTAGGCTCTCATAAAATGGTGATTGTATTATATAGACATAATGTAATAATACATACTGTCCAGTTTATATTTGGGGCTTAGAGGCATGCCTATTACTTTAGGCATATCAAAGAGAATTTTAGTTCAAAGTATTCAAAGGTTTATAGAGGCTTAAGACAAAATACACAAATTAGGAAGGATGATGCTTTGAAGATGTTAGATGAGATTATATATGTTAGAACTGATCGTGCCTTTCAAAAGTAATGAACAATATGAGATGCTTTAGTCTTGAATTGGTAAAATAGCTTAAAGATCATGGTGATATTGACCATTGGCCATTGTCATGATTTCCATTTAGGAGGTGAGACAACATAATTGCTAATTTGGCCAAGTCATATAATGCATGGCTTGTGAAAAAAATAAAACATCAAAAAATGTGTCGCCTTACTTGTCCTCCATCATCTGTTTCTGCCATTAATGTCCTACTGACCATTGTTATTAAAGGGCTACTTACTCTTTTAATTTGACCTATTGTACACAACTAATCTCGATCAATATCTTTATAACACATTGTAACTATAATCCTGTCGTGTGTACATCATAAGTAAGTCAAACAGCAATAACCAAATAAGATGAAGAAACTTCTCTTCTTCTAATGTTCCATCAACAACATATCTTACTTTTTACCCTCCTCTCCTGAACACATGCGAGACACAATGTTAAAAAACTTGTCCTTCTCAGTTATCACTCTCTTTCTCCTCTTAATGGGCTTCAACATGGAAATCCACAGAGAAGTTATTTTTTGACTTGGTATGATTGTCCTTTTGATGTCTTTTGGTCTTCTCCCTTGTCAGTCTCTTTATCTAATGACCCTACTCCCTTATTTTCTTCATCATACACAATATTGGTGGGCAATCTCTCAATGATTTTATCCCCTCCATCATCATTATTACTATCATCATCACCTTTCTCTCCATTATTATCACCTTTCTCACTATCTCCTTCCTCTCCATCATCATCACCTTCATCAATACCTCCTTCCTGATCATGATCTTTACCTTCAGTAATATCTCCATCATTATCACCTTTGTCACTACCTCCTTTTTCACCTTTACTATCAGATGGAAGAATCACTTCCTCATCACCTATGTTGTCAACAAAGTCCTTCAAATTTAAACTTTGCATCCCTTCTAGATGGAGCTGCACCTTCATAAGCTCTTCCACAAATTGGTTACTAAGCCTTTTATGACTTTCATCAAGTGCATCCATCATCCTTTGATGCACTTCCTTTAATTCCTGCATAACACATTTATTAAATGGTTAAACTCATTACACACTAATGAAATTTATACTTACAAATCTATGAACACACCGGTAGTAGATAAGCAACACTTATTATATCTTCCTACACTTTTGTAGACTTTCTTTTGTACAATAAGCCTATGTTACTCTTTGACTTTTTGTTGACCAATTCCTTTAGTCTCTTGTTCATCCAATATGCAATAACATTTCTTAGGTCATGGTTAATAGCTTTTAACAATGGGAATTTTTCACCCAAATATAGCTGCAACAACAATCACTGAACACCCCATATTAGCCAATTGAATTAAATAGTTACAAAAACATTTAAGAACATGTTTAACTAAAAACATACCAGCAAGAAGTATAGACATCCACCCACAGTGCAACTTGCATCTCTCCTTCCTAGACAAATTCACATAATCTTCTATTTCCTTTTAGAGGTCATTCATGATGTACGTCGCCCAATCATATTGTTCATATCCATTCATAGTTGAACACACCACCCTTAATAACTTGTCACAAACTTTTGCACTTGAAGTCGGGGCTGGAAATGTCCCAAGTGTGACCAACATAAATAATAATTCAAAGTGCTTATTATCCTTTCTACTTTTTATATCAGCTAATATCATGCTATATACAACATTATCATACTTTTTTCTCAACTTCGTATATGTGTCATCATTTTCATCTACATCTCCTTTTACCTCTTTCCCAATATGGGGCACACCAAGCAATGTTCCCATATCATTTGCCTCAATTTCTTCTGTCCTCCCCCTAATTTTGAATTTATGTGTTGCTGGACATATGATTGAATGAAAGCCACAATTAACTCACATGAGAGTCTGTCACAATCCACATTTCACAACTTAGAGAATCCTATATTCTCTATCCTTTGTCTTAAACTTTCATCACTTTTAACAAATTCCACTAATGACATGAATTGACGAACAGAGTAACGGGTGAACATTTTTTATTTTCTCTTATTTTTCTTCTTCTTGTGCCTCAATTGTTTGGCCCTTTCACTATATATTTTCCTCTTATCGATAGACAGTCTTGCCCATGCCTCTTTTGCCTCATTAGTTCTATTTACTACACTCTCGAATTTTTGTCCTTTTGTAAATTCCTCTCTAAATAAGACATACCCATTCTTTGCCCCTTTTGAAGTTGATGTCTCTCCCTCCAACACCATTTTTTTTTTACACTACACATTACTAAAAGCGTGTCAGAAAACAATTAATCTCCAAGCATGTAAGAACAATGTTAAGTGGAGGAATGCATATATAGTTCAACAATGCGACAAACCTAGTAGTATGAAATCCAAGTAGCATAAATTTTGTTTGCTAAAACTAATTCATCAACTTTGACTTCTATAAAAATGAATAAATCAAGTTTACATAAAATTCTACTGACTCTTTTGGAACAGAATTGGGCAAATTTCATTATTTATGGTTGTTGTAGTGAGTGTCTTATGAAAAGTGTTGAATCTAATTGAAGAATATGCGAGTGTATATATCAGCAATCATTTAAAACCAACCCTACTTTTGGCCCCTACTACCATTCTCATGCATAGTGTTCATAGGCAACTAGTTATAGATTTAAACAAGTTGGATGTATTATATTTCGAACTTGAGTATTTGAATGAAAAATCAATGAACGAATTCTAAAATTATTATTCTAGAGGAAACAACTAGTTAATATTATGCTTAAATGCCACTTTAATTGGATAATTTTGTCATCTTTGCAATTGGTTCCAGGATATTATAAATGCTATTTGTCATGATGACGACATCAAAGTTGTATTTTTTGTTAGTTCGAATGTTGTGAGTAATCTCATCAATTTATTATTTCAATCCGGCTCTTTTATGATGCCTCTTCATATGACCCTCAACTAAAGTTCTATTTTGATCAAGGGAAAACAAATAAAGGGAAATTTTTGAAAAATGTCATAAGTCCTCTTCTTTGGATGGATGGAAAAGCAAGGGACAGCTAATCAAGTATTGTGAAGTTTTAAAATTTTCAGTTCTCTTTGAACATTTAAAATTTTATTCTTGAATCGAAGCATAAAACCTGTTTAAATGCTGCTTTCATGAGAATGCTTGTGTTCATTATATGCTCGTCTGATCATCCTTTTCTATATATAAGGCTGGAATGCTATATATTCAATAGCATCAGCTAAAGGAAAACGTGTTTAAGTAAGTGCGATTCATCATTGTGGTTTCTTTTTCCTTTGAGAGATTGTTTATCTGTACACATGATATGATATAAAATCAATTTGGGTTGGAAACTTAATCAATTCTTGTTTTAAGTCCAATATGGGAGTAAAAAATCATGCAATTGTCATGGGAAATTAATGTTATGCATATGTGGGCTATATCATTGTACTAAAAAAGATTATCAACTTCACTATCATCAACCAAATCTACTAATGCCAAAACAAGAGTTCAACAATGAAAACATGGTGCAGTAGGACAAGGGTGTATAGCTCTCAGCACGTTGTTTTTGTTGGACAATCAAAGCCATGGTATCTTGTTTCACATTCTCTTAAATTTATTTCATGATTATAACTCCTTCAATAGCACCTTATCCTTTTGGTTAAATTTTGATCACAAATTAAAGCAAGTATTTCACCTTTGCCTAGTTGTATCATTTCTATTAATTTATCTTGTACAGAAATATGATCTCACATTTCTAAAGTTAGCAACTTATACTTTCTATGCCTTTCTGTAACCATGAGGGGATTGGTCAAAGGATAGCCGGGTCCAACTATTTGAACTTATTGTGATAATGTCTGTGGAAAATGTGTTCCAATTCTTTTTAGTTTCTAAAGCCATTAGCAATGTAGCAGTCTTTTGTATTTATTGAGGCACCTCAAATTTGGATATAATTGCAGCCTTTATAATATCTTTTCACGAAATCAATATTAGTTGAGTGTGCCAGCACACTTAAAACGAGTGTTCAAAGTGATCCAGATACAGGCCTTGGTCCAGTCATCAGCAAACAGGTTTGTATGAGGTTTTACATGTACTTACTCTACATTATCGATTTGTATTTTCAACTAAACATATCTTATTATTGGCTTGGGGGAGCCTAAACATCATAATCACAAATCATCAATGTAACTTTGTAAGCATTACTGACATGGTTTCTAAATGAACCTCCTTTTCACATTGATCATTTGTATAGTTTCACTACCCATCAACAAACATAGAGAAGGAATCTTAGACAAACTTACCTTTGTGTCAGCCCAAATTGCTCCTTTTCTCTCTTTCTTACCTTCAATCGATTCCCACAATGTAACCCTACAGTCGTTCTTTTCCTTTCTCTTCTTTAACGGTGACCACAACACCATAAATATGCCCTTCCTTCTTCTCTTCTCTCTTCTTCGACAGCGGCAGCTTCCTCCTCTGCTCTCTTCTCCTCTCTTCTTTGTTCTTCGTGTCGTTCTTCAACCAGGGATTACACTATGAAACAACCCACGCCTCCCCCTGGCTTTTGTTTAAAATAATACTCGGGACAGTTTGGTCATTGCATATAACATAAAAACCCCAATTTGGTCTCAACTAATCAAAATGGCATTCCCCTTATTCAGGTGATGTTTTTGGCATTATGAAGTTTACCTGTCATTTTTTCTGTCATTTTCCCTAAAAATTTTGATTTTTAATGAAAATGCTAATAAATAAATAAATAAATAAACGAATAAAGACTTTTTGACCCCATAATATGAAAATTTATAATATAGTAACCGTCATATGAAGTTTTGTTTCTATAATTTCTTATTATGGAGTCAAAATGTCTTTATTAGTTTTATATAACATTATTATTTGCTTCTATAATTCTCTTGTCAAAAAAAATCAAGTTTTTATATTTTTATTATTATCTTTTTTTTTTAATAATCAATCCAAAGTTCCATTACAAAAACATAAGTTTACCAAAAATATACTTTTTCTTAGTTTCGCTTAAAATTTAAAATATTCAAAAGGATTATTTATCCTAACTTTTTTTAATAAAATGATTAAATATATTAATAAGACGTTAGTTCAACATAGAAGGATTACAAAATATAGATCTTATAAGACAACTTCACACACTAAACACCAATTAAAAAGTAAAGTACATAAGAGTGAGCTTAAGAACATTAGACATCACTACAATCACCCTAACTAATCTAATTAAAATGAAACAAAAATCATGGACCAACAGTAAGATAAAAACCATGTCAAGCCACAAACACAACATTGATGATCCATCATCAAGACATAAACAAGTGGGATATCTTTTGAAAAATCTTCATACTGAAATGTCACATCAAGAAAGATTCATCAACAAAAGTTGATGAAGAGGCTTATGTCACTAACTTCACTCTGGAAAGAAGAAAAATGGATATCTACACAAATTATCCTCTTTTAGTTATCCTAAAATTAAAAATCACGCAATGTTTCTCTTAAAGAGTATTTTTATTTTGTTTTAATAAAAACTAAAATCTTACTCATAAATCAAAATAGTAGAGATTAGCATTCTTCATCAAGATCCACCCTTTGAAAGGAAGGTAGAGATTGATTAATGATACAAAAACTAGCTTCCATCTTATCAGAAGCTTTTGCCAAATGATCAACAGCCAGTAGAAAGATTATTTTAGAGGATTTATTGTACTCCTTATGAATACTCTTCGTAACATCATCAACTATGTCCTAAAAGGGTGGTCACAATGACAACTCCTAACATACCATCTCCATTTAACTTACATGAACTTAAACATATGTGGATAGAAAATAATTTAAATAAGTCTCATCAAAATTATAAATAAATCTTGTTGGGTAATTTTGTTTGGTGATAACCAAACTAGCAGAAAGATTATTTTAGAGGATTTATTGCACTTCCTATGACAAAAAGATCAAGTCAAAGAGATATAAAGAGAAAAGTATATCATCTCATGTAAATAGATTTTAATTCTGACTTGCAATTAAAACATCAACTACACTACTTAACACATCAATCAATCTCTGTATTTTTTTGGTTTTTGCCAAAAGAAGTATTCATTCATTCAAACAACAAAGGTGATGTTTGGATTGCCGTTACAAATGTTAAAAGGCCCTAGGAAATTGTGAAACTAAGGTTTGCAACTGAACTGGAGATGAATGGTTGTTTGGCTGGGACAATTGACCCAACCAACTTTTAAGGCAAACGGTAAAAGTTTCAACACTGAGCATGAGGTACTTTTGGAGCATTTGAAACTAGGATCTATCGTTATTGGAGCATTAATTAGATCATAAAAATATGACCTACCAGTTTTAACCCTCCCTGCATTTCCCCTCCCCCGAATCCACCTTCACATTTGGGTCACTCCCTCCCTTAGAGCTCATTGCAGTCGCCAGGCATTCCATCTTCACCGTCATTGGCTGCTCTCCCTCCCTCCCTCTTGCTGGCACTTCTCTGTCTTTGACTGTCATCGGTGCTTCTCCCTCCTTCACTCTCTCCATTTTCTCCCACATGACTGAGCCTTCTCCCCTGCTCTTCTCCCTCACACTCTCCCATTGTCTTCTTCCATTTCAAGTGGTCCTCCGGTTGTTCGACCGAGCTTGTAATTTTCATTTGCTGTTGGATGTGCCAGGGATCAGCCAAAGTCGATTTGTTACATCGGTGTGGTCTTCTCCCAGATCTTCATTTCATCCTCAGTGAGTTGGTTTCACCGGGTCATTAAGCTTCACCGTCCTTCATCAATGTGTAGCTGTGCTTCCTATAGATCCGACCATCTTAACTCCATTTGATTTCTACTTCACTCGATTTACCGTGGCAGCCTCAACTCATAAGCAAGTCTTCAACTCGCAGCTTGAACTCCACTTCTCTGTCCATCACTCTCTTTGCTTGGGGCTATTTGAAGGTCTTCAACTCGCAGCTTCAACTTGCAGGTAAGGTCATGTGTGTGTGATACATATATATATACACATATATATATTTGAGATAGACTGAGATTTGGTACAGAAATTCTTGCCATGTTTGAGTTCTATTGTTATTCTCTTTTTCTTTTAGATATATTGTCAAAGCAGAGGGCAAGTTTTGTGCCTCTTGATTGCTACTGCTTCTGTCCGTTTAGCTTCACTCTTCTTCGAATTCTGTATTCCTCTGATAGCGGTTTGTGGTTTTAATTCTCTTGTTGTATCTGATGAATTTGCTAATTTTTGTGCCCTTGTCTAATTGATGCTCATGGGTCAATATTTCCATGGATGAGATGAGTTTGTTTGTGGTATTATTAATGGAGTTGATTTGCTGCAGATTAGTGTGGTCTTCTTTTAGATCTTCATCCTTAGTGAGTTGCTTTTCCAGATCTGTTGAGCTTCACTATCCTTCATCGATGTGCTTCTCATAGATCCGGCCATCTCTACTCCCTTTGACTTTTACTTCACTAGATTTACCATTGCAAGCTCAACCCACAGGCAAGTTTTCTTCAACTCACAGCTTCAAGTTGGCGCTACTACTTCTCTT